TATCAAAAACATCTTCTGTTTACGTATTGATATTATGTATTATTACTACTGTACTGTAGGCCTAATATAAATAAAAATGTAAAGAAGGCTTTATTTGACCATTCATTACAAAATGCGCTGTCATAACGACAATAAACAATAAATCAAGTCAAAAGTACAATATATCTAAATATTATTAAAATAAATATATAAATGAGTGAGTTATTAGAAAATAGAGAGGGTGGTTTATAAGAGTAAATGAGCGTTCCCACACCTAAAAGTTTAGAAATTAAGCACTGACCTCTCCTATCTTAAAGATTTCCTTGTTTTCCTTATACCACAAATCAAAACATTCGTAATTAACCATTTACTCCCACATTTAATTTACGACTAATCTAACAATCACACACAACCTTTTTTCAGCGTTTTTAGCTCGCTATCAGATTGATGTAGCTTGTATCACGGACACACACCTAGCTCCAAGTGAGACTTTCCGAATAGCAGGATATAATGTATACAGAGCAGATAGGCCTTCCGCCACAGCTGCCGGGGGAGTGGCGATTATAATTAAAAGACAAATTCAACACCATCAATTTAGCTGTAAAACCACCGCTAGTGAACGGCAATAGTAATTCAAACAAACAACTCAACTCATCATATGTGGATACAAACAACCTAACAAAAAACTACTAGAAACTGACATAAGTTCAATGTTGAGTAGCTCTATACCTACGCTACTTATAGGAGATCTTAACAGCAAGAATAAATTCTGGGGATGTAGAGCAGACAATCCATCAGGACTGAATCTGGAATTATTAGCAACCAAGTACGGTTTTCAAGTGCACTGCCCAATCGATTTTACCTACTTTCCATATAGAAGCGACTATCAACCGGATATTTTAGATATAGTAATAACCAAAAATATTACCATCCAGTTAAATCTGTGTGTAATCAGCGAGTTAAACTCGGATCATTTGCCAGTAATCATCACCCTTGCAAAGCAACCTGAATACAGACCTAAAATTCCTAAGCTGATCAATGGATTCATCAACTGGGCAGAGTTTGGAGACTCACTGAATAATCAAGAATTTAACTTACCAACATGAGCTACTCAGAACGAGTTAGACGCAAAAATCCGCTCGCTGAACACCTTCCGGAGAAACTACTGAGTCACATCACAGGAATTTTTAATCGCTGCCTGGAAATTGACTACTTTCCGGTAGTATGGAAAAAAGCGCAAATCCTAATGTTCAGAAAGCCAGGCAAAATCAATACGGACCCAGCCAATTATCGCCTAATGAGTCTACTCTCATCCTTATCTAAGCTATTCGAACGAGTCATACATCATCGACTACAAGAAGAGTTAAGCCTCCTCAAAATAATCCCAAACATCCAGTACGGATTTAGAGAGGGACACTCCACGGTTCACCAACTGGCAAGAGTAGCGGAATATATCGCTGAAGAGTTCGAGGCGAAAAAGTTTACAGCTGTCTGTATTGAAGGCTTAAAATACAAGCTCAATCAAACAGGGTTAAGCAACTATTTACTTGCCATTCTGTTCTCCTTCCTGGAGGAGAGAACTTTCTCCGTCACCATCAATGGATACTCCTCCAGCACTCGAAGAATACTCGCAGGCGTTCCACAAGGTAGTAATTTATCCCCTACTCTGTTCAACATCTTTATGCATGATATCCCGATCAACGTAAACTTCGGAATGGCCATGTTTGCAGATGACATGTTAATAATAGGACAAAACGACATCCTTATTGATGCTATTGAGACACTTCAAAGGTCAGTGGACAAAATTCAGAAATGGTTATCAAAATGGGCCATTCTGCTCAATGCCAAACCAAGATTTTTTCGCTAACACCTTATCGAAATGGTCCTTACATTATTATAAATGATCAAGAAATACAGTGGAAAGCAAAAGACGAAGGCTTTTGCGGAATACCTGCAGTGAAAGCAGAAGAAATTCGTCAAGACATAGCGAGAGTGCTTAAAACTGTAAAGCCACCAAAATCAAACTTAACAGTGAACGAAAGAAGAGCACTACGAACGATAAGGGAAAAACCAGACATTATCATCCTACCAGCGGACAAGGGGTTATGGACAGAAAGGAATACGACGACAAGGTCAAGAGCCTTTTGGATCCAGCCACCTGTAAGAAGATAAAAAAAGGACCCAACCGAGAAGATAGTAAGGAAGATGAAAGAACTGGTAAAATCCACAGAAATCCCAGCAGATCAACAAAAAAGCTTATTTGTACAGGCTCCAGTACCACCAAGAATATATGGATTACCCAAAATCCATAAACCAGACGTCCCACTACGCCCTATTGTCAGTACCATAAATTCTCCCACCTATCAGCTAGCAAAACACCTTTCCAAGATTCTGTCTCCTTTTACAGGTAAAACTGAGTCATATGTCAGAGATTCCACACATTTTGTAGAATCAATTAGGAGTATGAAGCCAGACCCTCAGGATATGCTGGTAAGTTTCGACGTGAAATCTCTATTCACCAGGGTACCAGTCAAAGATGCCATGGATGGCCAGAGTCATCCCGGAGGGTTTGCCCAAGTATGTCCCAGGACTAGTGGAGTACTGAAAATGCAACTCTCTAAACAAAAACTTCATACTAAAAATTGAACGCATGTGGCGCCATCTGTTGGTGATATTTTGGAATTATTCAGCTAAGAACTGAACCACTAGAATACAGGTTGGATTGGGTTTATATATAAAAGCTCCAAGCACAGAGTTGCCACTATGTTGCTCCAATTAACGTTGCGACTGGTTAGGAATTCCTCAGATGCAATTACCTACATATGTATGCCAATTACACCTGTCAAATAATGCCGCCATATTTGAATATCACTGCATCATATAACATGTGAGATTGCATCTGATGAGCTTCCAACCAGTTATAACGTTAGCTGAAACAGAGCTATAATGTCAATTATAATCTAATTATTTAATCATACCACTATTACTTTATTATACTCTAACCGAAAAATCACTTTAAAATGACGTTTTCATCTGTCATTATGTCCATAAATTAGTATTATTCCCATTTGTAGCGTATTTGTAGTTTTTAGCCTGACTATGAGAATTCGTTCTGTTTGCTTTCCAATTTTCGATTTATTTTTCTCATTGTCCATGGGTGAAATGTGGATCTCTTCTTCCAAACCTTCTTCACCACCGATGTTACTTTTTACATGCTTAATGTTAATGCGTGTAGCGGGGCCGTGGTAGGCAACTAAATATACAATATGTATAGTTATAAGACAAGTTGTAACTTGTAGAGATGAGCAATAAAGAAGTGATATTCAAGGGAATAACACGTATAACACATGGTGTCAGGTGTGAATGCAATCGCTTAATCCGCGTAAACAAAATTGAAAAAATACGACCATGGGAAATCCGGTTGGATGTAGGTAGTAAAATTATTGATTTTAAAATAGATACAGGCGCCGATGAATCGATCATGAGTTACACCTGTTTTAAAAACAAATTCAATAAAAACTATTCGCTAAAACAAACCAAAGCAATCTTAATTGGTCCAGGAGGAGACAAAAAAGATAGCCAAATAAAAGTATATGGAAAAATTAAATTACCAGTTAAATGGAAAAATAAAACAAAATTAATCAGATTGAATTATATTCACAAATGAAAATTTATTGGGAAGACCGTCACTGACAAAATTAGAAATAGTTGAATGGAAGAATAAGGAATTAATAATAGGAAGCATTAACATAGAAAAAGAAGTAAAAGAAAAATTTCCAAAGGTATTTAAAGGTATAGGGAAACTTACAAATTTCAAGTACAACATTAAATTAAGCGATAACACACAACCGTATGCAGTTACCGTACCGAGGAGAGTACCGATACCACTACGAAAAGAAGTAGAAAAAGAATTGGAAAGAATGCTAAAGGAAGATATTATACAAAAAGAAGAAGAACCTACGGATTGGCGTGCACCAATGGTGGTGGCGCAGAATAAAGGAAAAGTATTCTGTTCCGATTTTACTGAATTAAACAAATACGTAAAGAGCGAATTTTTCCAATTGCCGTCGGTAGATGAAACATTGGCAAAATTACAAGACGCTACAATTTTCACAAAGTTAGACTTTACAAAAGGATTTTGGCAACTGGAATTAGACGAAAAATCTAGAAAGATGACAACATTTTTAACGCCTTTCGGAAGATTCAACTACAAAAGAATTCCGTTTGGTATCTCATCAGCCCCGGAGATTTTCCAGCGAACGATAAACAAAGTTTTAGAAGAGTTAAAATCCGAAAAAGTAATTGTGCATGTTGATGATATTTTGATCGCAACCAATAGTAACATAGAACATGATAACCTTTTAAGGAATGTTTTAAAGATATTGGAAAAGAATGGATTAACACTAAACAAACAAAAATGTGAATTCAAAAAGAACGAAACCACTTATTTGGGCTATATTGTCGGAGCTAATGGAATACATGCAGATCCTCAGAGCATAGAAGCTATAGTAAAATATCCCGCACCGATGAATATTTCCGAAGTTAGACGATTCCTTGGAATGGTAAATTATATGGGACGATTTATCCATAATGTTGCCGAAAAAACTAAGAATATTAGAGAATTACTACGGAAGGATCGAGAATTTAAATGGATGATAGAACATAACAATGAATTCGAAAAATTGAAGAAAACGATCGCATCATCACCGGTAATAACAAAATTTGATACGCGACGACGAACTCGAGTGTCCACCGATGCATCATCGTACGGGGTAGGTGCGGTTCTCGAACAAGAACACGAAAAAGACAAGTGAAAACCGGTGTATTTTTGCTCAAAGACATTAAACGAAACGCAACGTTGTTACGCGCAAATTGAAAAAGAAGCGTACGCGATTACGTGGGCGTGTGAAAGACTCGAACAGTTCTTGTTAGGTAAACAATTTTTAATTGTAACGGATCATAAACCCTTAACCGCGATACTTGCGACTAAAGAACTAAATAAACTATCTAACAGGTTGCAAAGATTCCGTATGCGTTTGGCTAAATTTAACTATAATATCGTGTATACGCCGGGAAAAGACTTAATAGTGCCGGATGCCTTATCTCGTGCTCCATTATGCACTGAATCCGATAAAGACATTTTACTTGAAGACGCAGACATTTATGTAAACTCTATTATTAAAGAGGTATCAGTGGATTTCATTCCCGAAGAAAAGATCAAGAAGGAACAACAGTTTGACGAAGGACTACAATGTGTAAAAGAATATATCAAAAGTGGATGGCCTAAGAAGAATAAAGTAAACGACTCAGCAAAAGAATACATAAAATTTGCAAACGATTTAAAAATAGTCGATGCTACACTCACATACCGAGACCGTATAGTAATACCCAGAGAAGCGAGAAGATGGTGTCTCAATCTAATCCACGAAGGACATCAAGGAATTAATAGATGTATAGCTAGAGCAAAGGACTCAGTGTGGTGGCCAGGCATACGAAGAAACATAATTAGTACTGTCGAAAACTGTGAGAACTGTTTAAAAATCAAAAATCCTGTAGTAGAACCGATGATTATAACACAAATACCAGGAAAACCATGGGAAATAATTNATCCCGCACCGATGAATATTTCCGAAGTTAGACGATTCCTTGGAATGGTAAATTATATGGGACGATTTATCCATAATGTTGCCGAAAAAACTAAGAATATTAGAGAATTACTACGGAAGGATCGAGAATTTAAATGGATGATAGAACATAACAATGAATTCGAAAAATTGAAGAAAACGATCGCATCATCACCGGTAATAACAAAATTTGATACGCGACGACGAACTCGAGTGTCCACCGATGCATCATCGTACGGGGTAGGTGCGGTTCTCGAACAAGAACACGAAAAAGACAAGTGAAAACCGGTGTATTTTTGCTCAAAGACATTAAACGAAACGCAACGTTGTTACGCGCAAATTGAAAAAGAAGCGTACGCGATTACGTGGGCGTGTGAAAGACTCGAACAGTTCTTGTTAGGTAAACAATTTTTAATTGTAACGGATCATAAACCCTTAACCGCGATACTTGCGACTAAAGAACTAAATAAACTATCTAACAGATTGCAAAGATTCCGTATGCGTTTGGCTAAATTTAACTATAATATCGTGTATACGCCGGGAAAAGACTTAATAGTGCCGGATGCCTTATCTCGTGCTCCATTATGCACTGAATCCGATAAAGACATTTTACTTGAAGACGCAGACATTTATGTAAACTCTATTATTAAAGAGGTATCAGTGGATTTCATTCCCGAAGAAAAGATCAAGAAGGAACAACAGTTTGACGAAGGACTACAATGTGTAAAAGAATATATCAAAAGTGGATGGCCTAAGAAGAATAAAGTAAACGACTCAGCAAAAGAATACATAAAATTTGCAAACGATTTAAAAATAGTCGATGCTACACTCACATACCGAGACCGTATAGTAATACCCAGAGAAGCGAGAAGATGGTGTCTCAATCTAATCCACGAAGGACATCAAGGAATTAATAGATGTATAGCTAGAGCAAAGGACTCAGTGTGGTGGCCAGGCATACCGAAGAAACATAATTAGTACTGTCGAAAACTGTTTAAAATCAAAAATCCTGTAGTAGAACCGATGATTATATATAACACAAATACCAGGAAAACCATGGGAAATAATTGGTGCAGATTTAGCAACCTAACGAAACAGTACTTATCTTGTGGTACAAGATTATTATTCTGAATATCCCGAGATTCGTAAACTAGGCAGAATTACATGTCAAGAAGTTATTGAACACTTTCAGGACATTATGTCACATAATGGTATACCTATTGAGATGAGAACCGATAATGGTAGATAGTTTGACAGCTATGAATTTAGAAAATTTGCGAAGAGATATGGGTTTAAATGGACAAGTAGCAGTCCTGAATACCAACAAGCTAATGGTCAGGCCGTAAGACGAATACGAAAGACGAAAGATGAATACTTAAGACGAACGATGACATGTACAAAGCATTATTAATATACCGCAACACACCGTTAAAATGTGGAGCATCTCCAGCTCAACTTTTGTATGGTAGATCATTGCGCGACCCACTCCCAAGAATCGAGGCTAAATGAAAACCTAAGCTACCAAATCATGCCATCATTAGACAAAAACTAAAAACAGAAAAGGAAGAACAAAAGAGAAATTATGACAAACTGTGAAATATTTTGTTTTAAGAAATCTGTTTTACCGACCAACTCTCGTCCTGTGTAAAGGCGGCATTACACGGCGTGCGAAGTGACGCGCCTGGCGCGTGACTCGACGCGCGGCGCGTCGTGTGAATGGTTCGGCGCGACGAACTTAACGCCGCGCGTCTAGTCCCGTCGGCGTCGATAAGCGGTAAATTTTACACAGTTCAAAGGAAACGCGCCGCGCGTGGAGCGAACGTACACTCACACGGCGCGAGGGTTGCAAATTTACTGGTCGTTTTGGTGCCTATTGTTTAGTCATGTAGTAGCTGTGTAGTAAACAACATGCCTTGGACAAACGAGATCATTTCCGAATTTTTAACATTATACGAAAAAGAAACAATAATTTGGAACCCAAAACATGAGGAGCATAAAGATTCTGTTCAGCAACAATTAAGTATTAATTGTAGCTTAACAGAATTAAAAAAGAAAAAAGATACTTTAATGGGGACATTCCGGAAATGTCATGTGTTATATATTAAGATATAAAATAGTTTATATAAGTTGTCAGCACTGTCGCGTAACCTTGAAGTGAGCACCAGTGCAAGTGTCATGGCGACATCGAAGTATAACGGAAATTCCAGAGTCTATATATTCTTTTAGTTTAGTAGATAATATACCAATAGAAGCGGCAGATATTGCGAAAGCTACAAAAAGAGACCCAATACTTCTTAAAGCAATAGATTATACTTTATCAGGATGGCCAGACTCTATAACCGATGAAAGTTTAAAACCATATTTTAAAAGAAAACATGAGATGTCCGTTGAGAAAAATTGTTTATTGGTAGGAAACAAAACGATCATACCAAAAAATTTACAGAGAGATATTCTAAATCTATTTCATGAACAGCATTTGGGAATTGTGAGATCAAAAATGTTAATACGAGGGTATTGTTGGTGGCCTAATATGAACAATGACGTAGAAAATCATATAAGTACTTGTACTGTTTGTGAAGAAACGCAAAATTTTTGTACGGGATGCTTGATACCATGGCCAAAAACCACGAACAACTTTCAAAGAGTCAATATAGATTTTTTTCATAAATATTCATACACTTTTTTGATAATAGTTGATAATAAATCAAAATGGATAGAAGTCAAACTTATGGACGGAGGAACTAGTGCCAGGCAACTTATTATAAAATTAAAGGAGTTTTTTTCAATTTTTGGTATTCCG